AGGCTCTTCTCGGTGGCAAACAATGATAGGATGAGGGATAATGGAATCAAGCTGTAACACAAGAGGTTCCACTTAAATTTGAGAAGAAACTTCCTGTCAGTGAGGGTGACAGAGCCCTGGCACAGACTGTCCAGGGAGGTTGTGGAGTCTCCTGCTCTGGAGACATTCAAACCCCGCCTGGACGCCTTCCTGTGTAACATCATCTGGGTGTTCCTGCTCCAGCAGGGGGATTGGACTAGATGATCTTTTGAGGTCCCTTCCAATCCCTAGCGTACTGCGATACTGTGAATGTCTGTTCCCATTTATCTCCAACTTGGGGTACTGTGCCACGAGTCTAATGGATGTTTTCCCTCGCCTGAGCAGTAGTGTAAAAAAAAAATAAAATCAAAAATCTCTGCTGTTCTTTCCCAGACATTCTTGTGTGACAGTTATTGCCAAAAGTTATGTTGGAGTAGTGAGGAGGAAAAAGGGTGGGGTGGCATGATAAAGCAGTTTAGAGGAATGGACAGGAGGAAGAGGGAAAGCCAGCCCTACTATGCAGGAATTTTTGTAACTAGGCCTACAGAGACGTGCACGTAATTATGTCAGTGTTGGCCAAAGCCTTCACTGTTGCACTGTGTGTGCCTCCCTACTTCATCTCAGTATACATCTTACGGCAAATGAATAGCAACTGTTGGTTAAATTTGATGCGTGATTTAGCTTAAATAACTTTAAAGCGTAGTTTTACCCTGATGTCTTCTCTGTTCCCTTCAATTAGGTCTGTTAGTGGTGAAATAATACTGGAGCCCTCTCCTACCAAATCCAAATGTGCAAGAGATGCTCTGCATCCCTCACCATTACCTCCCGCTCCCAGCAAATGACGTGTGGCTTATGCAGGGCAGGTGTGAAATTCTGATTGTGGCTTTAGATCTAGGAGAGAAATCTTCCTTTTATCTTAATTATTTTGAACTTCATATTGTTGCTAAAAGATGCATGTGGGAAACCTGAGGATTAAGTTCCTGGCTTTGGTGGGGAGGGGAACAAACAGGCCAGCAGACATCTAGAACTGCCAAAGTGAGTGGAATCAGTGGCTGAATGAAAATCACTCGGAAACAATGACTCTGGATTCTATGTGAACAGTGTTTTGTGATGTGCTGCTTTTGAATCTTACCAGGTTTGGGATTGCAATATATTGACTGTAATTTATAGCAGTTTCAAAGCAGGGGTGAAGAGAGTGCTGTCTGAATGTGATTTGTAACAACTCGGAGGTAGTAATTACATACTAACACAGTACAAGGAGAAATGCTTTGCAAGCGAGGGGAAGTCACTGCTGCCATTGTGTACTTTCAGTTAATGTGTATGTGAGGTGTGGGGTGTTACTAGCACAGACTGAGTTTGGTGAGGCCAGTTAACATGGCAGTTATGTTAACTGAAGAGGTGAGCAAATGTCGTGTCTGCCGCTCCCGGTTGCTTTCTAAAAGGTCTCTTACTGTCAAAAATGTATATTCTTAAAATGTTTCTCCATCCTCAAAAAGAGACATGCAGAGAAGAGAGCAAGCTGCAAAGGACTAAAATCACGTAGTTTGGACATCACTGTGCCTTTCCAAGGGCTAACTGGAGAACTGTTTTGGTATAAAACATGATTTTCTGTGTAAAGTCTCCTCGGTATAATTAACCAAGCAAAGGTTCTTTGGTGCAGCCCTCGTGCTCTGTATGTCAGCACTAAAGCAAGCTGTATGTTTGGTGATTTTGTTGCTGTCATTTCCTTTTCTCTTAAGGGGGTACCAGCAACAGGATGCCCACGAGTTCATGCGTTACCTTTTGGACCATCTACACCTGGAACTCCAGGGTGGCTTCAATGGTGTTTCCCGTTCAGTAATTTTGCAAGAAAATTCTAGCCTGTCTGCAAGCAACAAGTGTTGCATGTAAGAAGTGTTTTTTGATTTCTTCAAAACTTTAATGCCTTTATATGGGTCTGCGTGTGTGTATCTGAAATTCCAAATTCATGGTTCCTTGTTTTAAGTTTTTGGTAGCACCTCCATGGTGTTACAGATCACAGAGCTGTGGATTATAAAGGATTGGCATCCTGTAGGATGTGCTTCCTTTTAAAAGGAAGTGTCTTAGATCAGCGTTTTTCATAGGTGTAAGTGAGCATACAGGCTAAGTTGTGAATGCATTTTAATTAGTCCTTCAGAAATAAAAAGAAAGATCTCTGTATTTTCTATTTTATACCCATATAGAAGTCTTTTGTTCAGACAATCTCGTTCTCTTAAGGTGATAGACAGCCTGAATGGTACAAGAGCAGAAAAGATGGCCAGGTATTTGTAAGCTTAAAGTGTCATCACACCTGCTGGATTAATGAGCAAGCAGTGTACTTACAGTGGAAGTCAGTTTTCCTGCAGATGATTTTGCTATATTTGCCTATCACTTGACACAGTTAAAAGCTGTTGCTTTTTTTCCTGGTAAATTTTAATTTCGTATTTGCTATGTGTCTTGAAATAGTGATGATCTCTGTTTCACTCCTCTTTCTGTACTTTGCCAAATACTGCTGTTTCTAAATTATGTCCCAGCTGTATTTTCTCTCAGATTGAAACTGTCACAGAGAGAAAACATTTTAATTTGCTAAGTCAGTTCAGCCTGCACATTTGGTCCCTGAGCCCTTGGATTCCCGACGCAAGAGCCCAGCGAGTTTTCCCTTCCTGTACTGCTCAGGACTTAGTAAGCAGGTCTGAGAGATGGGGAATTTTGTAGGTGCTTCATTAGGGAAAACCTAGAGTTCAGACTGTGCTTTTTACCACACTTATTTTGCTTTGCTGGTGCTTGAACATCTCGCAAGGAAATCTTACAATTTTAATTAGAATTTAAATATATTTGAAAACTAGATTGATTTTGTTTTGCCAACATTTTTGAATGTCAAAACCTAAGGAGAATTTAAACTTTGTTCGCATATCTACTGTAAATCTCTCTTGAGTGTGGCTGTTCACATGTGTGGTGAGGTGGAGTAAGCTGCCTCCTGTCAAGGGCAAAGAAAGGTCAAATATACTGAAATGGTAAAGTACAGTACTCTTCTTGAGTCCCACTTTATTTGGGTAGTCATTTATTTCTGCTCAACAAGAAGCATTCAGATCAACTGTGAGAGATGTAGGTGGAGTGCAGGTAAGGAACACAGATTTCTGCAGGCTAGTAGTGACAGATCTGCAATCATAAACTAGCAGGTTTAGAATCTGTATAATAATAGACCTCAAAATCAGTTTATTTTTTAATTGGTCTATGAGAAGTAGTCAATAAGATATGAATCTGCTAAAAAGATGAAGTGTAGTGAAAGCATAGGGAACAATGTTGACGATGCATATTGTTTCTCCTATCTTAATGCAACTTAAGCTGTCTTTGGAAGTGAAGTGCGGAGATATTAAGAAGTCAAAATTTCTTGTAACAAAGGGAGTGTACAATTAGAACAAAAATATGCTCGACCTACCTAACAGGGAAGAATTTTTGTTTTGGAAACAGCCTAAATTACAGCATTAAAACACTGTACCCCTGTGAACTCTCCTGTATAGAAGTGCAACCAACCAGAATACTTTGAACACTGGAATTTTGAGCATCTCATTAGTGCATGTGCAGTTCACATTTTCCTTCAACAGAAGTATTATAGCAGCTAAATAAATACTTGGGCCGTACAGTTCTGGGGTGAATGAAATGTCTGGTGGATGAACTCAGTCGCTGATTGTTGCACATGAACAAAACTGCTCTGCCTAGTAGCACTGAGTTGTAAGCACTAAACATGTAGCAGATATTGAAAATTAAACTCAGACATTCTGACTGACTTCATCTCTCTCATGTGGTTTGTCTAGAAATGGAGCATCTACTGTTGTCACAGCAATTTTTGGAGGCATTCTTCAAAATGAAGTCAACTGCCTAATATGTGGGACTGAATCTAGAAAGTTTGACCCATTCCTAGGTAAGGTGCCTCTTGCTTTCAAAATATCAGGTGACTTCAAGCTTCCGATATATTTTTCTGCATTATGTTTAGATGTCACGTGACTGAACCAGAGGTTTAGCCAGAAATAGATGGCATTGGTTTTATTCAGCCCCAATTCTTTTTTCACCTTTGTTTTTCTAGATCTTTCGCTAGATATTCCAAGTCAGTTCAGAAATAAACGTACTAAAAATCAAGAAAGTGGACCAATGTGCACACTACGAGGTAAGAATGCTTGGGTAGTGAAACCGTGATCAGACTCAGAGTGATGTACTCTTCAGAGTATCCGTTTCAGAGGAACCAGACTTTGATCTAGAGTGTGACTTGGTGCCATGTGCCATTGAATTTTATGTGATTCTGTGGTAGAAGGTGCCAAAACAATTTTCCATGTAGGTTTTACCCCAGTCACTGTGTGTTGACATACTGCTACAATAAGCTGAGAAGTGCTTCAGGAGGTCAGCTAAGCATCAAGGGCAATTCCGGCAGACATTTTTTCTCTGTGGTTGGGAGTGTTTCTGTTGTGTTCCAGTCTTTCCAACCAACACTTCTCCACGTTGTTGCCTGTTGGCATTTGCTAAGCTCTGTGCTTAGAAGCCTGTGCCGCTTGTGCATAAGGATGGCTCTTGGTTGTTCTACTGTTTAAACAACATAAATATAATCCTGTGAAGTTGGGCGGTACTGCTGCTATTTACCTTGTTTTACAGGATGTTAATTTCTACAGATTTGTGAATATACTTGCTGCAGATTGTGAAATAATAAAACCCCATTATTTTAAGTTTACTTTATGCTAAAACCAAATCACCTTTAAAAATTGAATGTTCTGTGTTAGAAAGTCATTTAGTTTCTTTTGAAACAATTGTGATGGAATCTTGTTAGAGAGATGGAGATTTTTATGAATGCTTTTTTTTTTCCTCTTGAACTGCTTATGCCTGTGTTTCCAGGAACAAGCAATGATGTGTGTTACAACCCCTTACTGTGGTAAAACACATTATTACATAGCTTTTGGCTGCACAGGTATATGTAGTAACTAGAATGACTGCAGAGGATGCACACACCTTTTCTGTATTGCTCTATGTGTTGTATCTCATGTTACAAAAATTACTTGACGTCGTCCTGAATCAGGTTTCTTTGGGTGGGTGTTCTGGTTTTTTATATCTTGTTCTTTTTTAGATTGTCTTCGCAGTTTTACAGATCTGGAAGAACTTGATGAGACAGAGCTGTATATGTGTCACAAATGCAAAAAGAAACAGAAGTCCACCAAAAAATTCTGGATTCAGAAGCTACCAAAGGTTTGTATAAGCCCAAAAAGTAACAGTGTGACAGTATGGCAAAGGAAGTAATGACTCAACCCTTAGTAGACCAACGTGTAACCCTCCCATAGTTCCTGCTGAATGCAGTTCAACCTCTGCCTCTAATGCATCCATTTTTTTATGTGTTGGTTTTTGGTTTTTTTAATCCTGTAGGTGCTATGCTTACACTTGAAACGTTTTCACTGGACAGCATATCTGAGGAACAAGGTTGATACATATGTTGAGTTTCCCTTACGAGGCCTAGACATGAAATGCTACTTGTTAGAGGTATGAAGACTCACCAATTCTTCCTGTAGAAATTTGGTCTACAACTTCTGTCTTTATTACATGTCAGTAGGTGCTACTGAGAATTGAAGAGTTTTCTGTCTTTTGAACCACAGCCTGAAAACAGCGGCCCAGAAAGCTGCCTCTACGACCTTGCGGCTGTTGTTGTGCATCACGGTTCAGGGTGAGTACACGGAGTAAGCCTGCTTCTTGGCAGAGATCATCTCCCCACTGAAGTGCATGCGCAGTTAATTGGGTTTTTTCTGTCCTTAACCAATACATGTGTTTTTACTGATGGGAATAAGCAGTGATTTATAAGCTTTCACAGAATTAAGATGAATTAATATAAGATAGATCTACACAGTTATTCCTGCGAATGCCCGCTGGCAGTCTTTGGGGGCAATGACTACAAGTGTGAGATCTGATGAAAATAGTCTGTTCCTCTAGGAATGGAAACCCCTAAACCAACAGAGGGAATCAAGAGGCCTTCCAGAAGTTAATGCCTCATTTTGAAATTCTTAGTACAAAGCAGAGATTTTTTTTTTCTTTTATTTGCTTTGAAAGGTGCATGTATGCGTACACCAAGAGTGTGTGTGTGTGCGTTTTGGGAATTGTAGACTAGGACTGGCACGGTGAAAGTGTGTATCCTGTGTCTGCCTTCTCTCCTACAGGAGTGATGCCACAGGGCTGGCTACTGTCCATACTCCGTAGTAAAGTTGTTAGGTGTGTTTTGGTTTGGGTGGGGTTTTTTTGGTTTTTTTTTTTTGGAGTGGATGAGTGTTTGCTTTTTTGTTCGTCAGTTTGGTTTGTTTGAGTTTAGTGGTGTTGTTTTTTAATTTTTCCCCAGCCCTGCTGAGAGCAGGGACAAGACAACTGTTTATCCTGAGAGAAACGCGTTTAGACAATCGCTCTGTGGGTGGAAGCCGTGAAAGGAGTTTTCTTAAAGACACTAAACTCCATTAATCAAAACATTACTGATATCTGAATTTACTTCAAAAGTACAAACCCAAAAGTTCTGTCCAGAAAGCCCCCACCCATTCCCCCCCCACCCCCAAGGAATGGTCTGGACTCTGTATCCAACGATTTGACTGCGGGAGGCAGCCCTTGTAGCACCACAGTGCATCGGGTGCTTCAGAGTCACAGAAACACTGCATGGACAGCAAAAGAAAGATGGTCCTGTTAGAACAGAGATGGTTGGAAACACTGAGCGTGCAAAAGCAGGTCTTATCTTGGGGTGGCAGGGTAGTGAAAATCGATGCGTTTGTAGTTCTGGTAGGTTAGCTTCAAGAAATACGGCTCCAAGATACGTGTCTGCTTAAGGTGAACTTGGAAAATATTCTTCTTGGTAATCCGGGATTAGTTTTGCTGTGAGTGCTTTAGATTATAGTGGGACTGTGAGTCTCTCTAGACCTAAATGGGGAAAATTTCTGAAAATAGAACATAGTGGTTTTCTCACAGCAAGCGCTTGAATAGCAACAGATAATTGACTTGATCGTTATGGTGGCAAATGTGGAAGTCAAGAAGCCTTGCTTGCACAAAATCTGTGGGATGCTATTAAGTTCATATCATAAAACCTCTCAACTCATCCCAGTAGGTGATTTTTTTACTTAACACAAAGCTTTAATTTGGAGAACTTTGAGCCCCACAGACTTAAGAAGGGAAGCATCTTGCCAACTGTTACGGAGGGCTGCGAGTTCCTCTTCCTCTGGTTCCTGGAAGTCTCTTAGCCCTAATAGAAAATGAATCAGAGAATGAGGTCGTCTGTCTCCTTCTGATTGTCCTTTCTCTCCCCGCCTGCCCCTGCTGACAGCGTTGGCTCTGGACATTACACCGCATACGCAGCGCACGAAGGCCGTTGGTTCCATTTTAACGACAGTACTGTAACTTTGACCGACGAGGAGACTGTGGTAAAGGCCAAGGCCTACATCCTCTTCTACGTGGAACGGCAAGCCAAATCTGGATCAGATAAACTTTAATACCTCCTTTTAATTCTTACTTATCAAGTCCTCCGGACAAAACATTTCCATTTTTCCATAAATACTTGATCCAAGACTATTAATTTCATTGTGCACTTTTCAAGTTCCTCTTGTGGGTTTTAGTTTTGTTGTGTCAATGGTAGCATTTGACTTACTGAACTCAGACACAAACTAACTTTTTTTTTTTTTTTAGTTATACCAGAAAACCTCAGCAGATTTTGGTTTGCTGCTTTAGTTGTGATAACTCAGTTTTTATATATATAGTTTCATTAAATACTTAGTTATTTGACTTTTTGTATATTAATGTTTTCAGTTCTCACTTTCTAAAGGCACATTTACATCAGAGAAGCTTTTTGCCCTCCTTCCAAGCATGATAAATGTGCTTCTGATTAGGAAGAGCAATACAACCTCATGCTGTTCTCACAGCTGTTGCTTAGATACCATTTAATCTTTTCAAATCAAGGAATTGATGACTTAATCTCTTTAAATCAAGGAATTGTTTGCACGTACTATTTTCCTCGTGCAAGAAACTAAACAGTGACCTCTGAACAATCATTCTTTGTCCGCAGGAGAGAGGAGATGTGGCATCATTAATAGAACAGGTAAATGCTGCTATACTGGTGTGTATTCAGGCTGCTGACTTTCAGGAATCATTGTAAATAAATAGTTGGTTCAGTTGTGTCAATACTGTAGTTTAATTCAAGTACTCTTCACACATGCTCTGCTCTTAAAATTTATTATTTTTAAAAATTACCTTAAATATATACATGTTTAAATTGTGTTGAGAATTATGGGTCTTTAACCAAACCTGAATTGCCTTAGATGTCTCTTGTTTTAGACTGTCATCCTGAAATTTGGTCATGAACACGTACTTGCCTGACAACTTGGAGACTTGGTGGTAATGGGACCCCAGCCCTCCTTGCTGGTGGGAACTGGGAGTACAGCCTCAAAGTTCGGGGTTTGTGAGAACAGGCTGAGGTCCTAAATAAAACTGATGTCTGCTAAATGCCTGCAGTTCACTTAAAACTGCAAGGAAGCGGGTCGTGTTAGAGATGCTTTGCATGACAACTTTTCGTATCAGTTCAAATGCAAACTGAAGGGAAGCTCCTCAGTTTCACGGCGTGGCCTGCCTGATGGGAGGTGATGAGCCAGGGCTGCGTGTTGCCTGGAGCAGACTCAGTAGCTGTGGTAGCTGCGGTGGTATTTACACAGTGGGGTCCGGGGTCCTCACTTAGAGCTGTGTAATGGAGAAGGACTTGTGCTTAAAAAAACCCCAGTACTGAATTTTAGCAGTAGTGCTGTTTCTGGAATGGATGTCAACTAATAAGATTTTAAAAAGGTGGACAGGAACACCAATACTGCAAAAGCCAGGAGTGCCAAAAAAAAATTCTTGAAATTTGAGAAATGGTGCGTTTCAGTTCCCTTACCCCAGCCCACCCTTTGTAGCTTGGTCCCATCTTCCTAGCAAGGAACTGGACACTGAAAAATCTCCAAAGTGTGGCAGTAATAGTAGAATTAACTTGATTTAGAGTCATGCAATCAAATGGTACCTTTTAGCTGAGATAACAGTAAAATATAGTAGTGTGAAAACGCACAAGAAATCAAGTCAAATGTCATTACCCTTTTTAGTTAATGCTTCTGAAAGACGCTCTAGTACCCAGTGAAGGGTTCCCAGCAGATGGTAGCACGGCTCAAGCTGGTGCCCGTGGAAGCATGCATCCATCTCCTTGCCATGGGTTACCTGCTAGCTGTACACTGACCAGTACAAAGGGAAATCACCATCAGTTCTTCTTAAAAATGTCACACTTCATAGCTTTTTCACAGCATCTTAAACCAGGAAAGAGAAATCGGATTGATACGGAACTGCAGAGAGCGTTTAGCTTTGCTAATAGTGGATGAATATGTAAGCTGTACACTAGTTAAAATCTCTTGTGATTATTTTTCATACATTAAGTGACATATATAAGGATGTTGTCTTTTACTTAAGTAAGTTGAACAATAAATAATAGAGCTGTTAATTACTTTGAATTGTAGATAAGTGTGTAACCTACCATTTCTCTGTTTCTTGCAGCAAGAGCCTTTCTTCTAATCAGAATAGGATGTACCTTTTTCTGCCTGTATAAATGCTATTTCAGATGTCATTGGTGTGCAGGACAAGTGAAGTATCTTACCACCTTACTACCCTGGAGGGCAGCCGTGCTGCCCACAGTTAGCTGAGGAGTTCAGTAGATTCCGTCTGTTAGCTGTGGCTTTATCTGCATGCTTCTTGGATTGCTTTAGAACTCGTCTCGAGAATGCAAAGCTTAAATTCACAACTAGCTATGGGCCAGAAGTGGTGTTCTCACAAGCCAGTGATGTAAATGTGCCTTTCTCTATTTTTTAGAAACTTAAATTTGTAATCTTCAGCAACATTCACTTGTTTTAAGCAGCCTCTATTTCTCCAGTTAATTCTTTGGGTCAGAGTTATGTTCTCACTAAAGTATTTCCTTTCGGTAGCATTTTTGCTCTGTAACATATTTAGGTCTTGGGCAATGGTATCTATCCAGCATGGTCCATTTAAGACACGGACATGGGAACACAACACAATCACGTCAGGCTTGTTCTTGCAGCAGGTGGTGATACGGACTCAGCCATATGCTTTGCTGGAACAGGTACATCGTAATTCCTTTCCTAATTTAACTTTCTCCCACTGCAAACCCAGATGGACAGTATGAACAGTTTGTTGTGGCAACACAAGTATTTCTCTTCCTGGTGGAGAACTTTGCTTATCCACTGTATTCTATTCAGTGTGGTGTCAAAAAAAAAAGAAAAAAAAAGTAACTGAGCACTGAACCAGTACTGCACCTCGCCTAGTATTACATTTTTAACCTTACTTGTATATCCTATATTTATCTACTAGTTTGTGGGAGGGTGGGGGGATATCTCATTTCATTTAAAGCCAAATGTTTCTTTTCTACTTACCGCTGATCATAGTACACACTAACCGGCAAGAATTTTTTTCTTGCCTCTGACTGCTCTGCGAGCAACAACTGCTCTCTGCAGTTCAAGGACTTGCATGTTTTTCACCAAAATTCGTCTGCTCGAAGGTTGTTTGTTAGCAGTTGTGTAGCCATGTCTACAACTGGAGACAAGGTTTATGTAAAACAGAACTGCAAAGTGTCCAGCTCTCAGAACACATCTGCTTTAGTGTGTTGTACAGTGAGCTGCAAAGCACAGCGTTACGCAGAACTCTGAGGCACGGAACAGAGCTCCTCCTCACGGTACAGTCAGAAGGTGCTTTCCAGGCCGTTGGAGATGTTGGCATCAGAGGAGCATTCAGAACTTTGAGACAGGCAGGGACAGAGGATTTGTGTCAGAAGCAAGAGGTTGTTTACAAGGATTGTACTAAATCCATGGAAAGCATAACGTGGTGGTCAAAAGTTTCCCCAACAATGTTTCATTACTGATATGTCTGTGTCTTACTGATGAGGTAATGGGCACCTTGAAAACTGATTCCAGTGTGCTTTAGGATAGCCTCGAGTACTGTAGTGCCATAGCTGTAACTGTTTACCATTAAAATCTAGCGTGTCATTGCCAGTGAGATTACTGACTGTGCTCATCTTGTGTGTTTCTGGAGCATTTCCAGGTTGAATGTGAATTATCTCTCATTTACACAGTGTGTTCATGCAAAATGTGCCATTAAAGTGTCTCCTTTCCTTAGAAAATGAAGCTCCTCTTGTCCTTCTGCAGGCTTGCAGAGTATCATGAGAGTAGCTGCTCTGCACACAGACGGCAGCTGGTTTTACCTTGTGAGGAAACAAAATAAAGCAAATTGAAGTCTTCCCCCTGCCCAAACCTGGCACCTCAAGGCGAAGAGGACCCGCCCTCCAATTCTGAAGGGCCTCGTCACCCAGCAGCGTTCATTTTCATGTCGGGTGGTGGTACACGTTCTCGGTGTGGAGGAGTTCATCCCGCCAATGGGGATGTTGTCGCTCAAGCTGTATGTTTCTGGGTTATTTTTTATAAATCTTTTTAAAATGTCGTCCTGTTTCTGAGAGTTGAATTTCAAACCACCTTCTCGCACGAGGCAGCTGATGAACTCTCGGCCCATTCAACCCAGTCACCTGTTGAAACACACCCAGTTCAAATGTACAGGTACAGGAACCCTGCCAGCGACCAACACCGTGACAGCTACTGCGAGCACACCGACAGACACTGTGCGTGTGTCTGTGTCCATGTGACTGTCCGTCTGTCTGTCCGTGTGTCTCTGTCCAGGTGAGTGTCCGTCTGTCCGTCCGTGTGTCTCTGTGCATATGAGTGACTGTCTGTCTGTCCGTCCGTGTGTCTCTGTCCATGTGAGTGTCCGTCTGTCCGTCCGTCTGTCTCTGTGCATATGAGTGACCGTCTGTCTGTCCGTCCGTGTGTCTCTGTCCATGTGAGTGTCCGTCTGTCTGTCCGTCCGTCTCTGTGCATGTGAGTGTCCGTCTGTCCGTCCATCTGTCTCTGTCCATGTGACTGTCCGTCCGTGTGGCTCTGTTTGTGTGAGTGTCCGTCTGTCTGTCTGTGTGTCTCTGTCCATGTGACTGTCCGTCTGTCCGTCTGTGTGTCTATGTGAATGCCAGTCTGTCTGTCCGTGTGTTTCTGTGTGAGTGTCCGTCTGTCTGTCCATGTGACTGTCCATCTGTCCTTGTGTCTCTGTCCATGTGACTGTCCATCTGTCCATCCCTGTGTCTGTCTATGTGAGTCCATCTGTCCTTGTGTCTCTGTCCATGTGACTGTCCATCTGTCCTTGTGTCTCTGTCCATGTGACTGTCCATCTGTCCTTGTGTCTCTGATGTGTCTCTGTCCATGTGACTGTCTGTCTGTCCGTGTGTCTCTATGTGAGTGTCCGTCTGTCTGTCTGTCCATCTGTCTGTCCTTCCGTGTGTCTCTGTCTATGTGAGTGTCCGTCTGTCTGTCTCTGTGTCTCTGTCTATGTGAGTGTCCGTCTGTCTGTCCGTGTGTCTCTGTCTATGTGAGTGTCCGTCTGTCCGTCCGTGTGTCTCTGTCCATGTGACTGTCCGTCTGTCCGTCCGTGTGTCTCTGTCCATGTGACTGTCCGTCTGTCCATCCGTGTGTCTCTGTTTATGTGAGTGTCCGTCTGTCTGTCCATATGACTGTCCGTCTGTCTGTCCATATGACTGTCCGTCTGTCCGTGTGTCTCTGTCCGTGTGTCTGTCCATGTGACTGTCCGTCTGTCCGTCCGTGTGTCTCTGTTTATGTGAGTGTCCGTCTGTCCGTCTCTGTGTCTCTGTCTATGTGACTGTCTGTCTGTCTGTCCGTCTGTCCTTCCGTGTGTCTCTGTCCATGTGAGTGTCCGTCTGTCTGTCCATTTGTCTCTGTCCATGTGTCCATCATTGTCTGTCTGTCTGTCCATGTGTCCGTCCGTGTCTCCGCCCGTTTCTTTCTGTCCATCTGTTTATCTGTCTCTGTCCGCGTGTCCGTGTCTCCGTGCGTCTGTCCTTCTGTCCATCCATGTGTCACTCCATCTGTGTCTCTGTCTGTTTGTCTGTTTTTTCCATCCATCCGTGTGTCTGCCCGTCCATCTCTCTGTGTCAGTGTGTCCGTCCATCCGTGTTTCCAGCTGTTTGTCTGTGTCTGTCTCTCCGTATGTCTCTGTATGTCTGTCTGTCCGTGTGTCACTCTATCTCTCTGTCCATGTGTCTCTGTCTGTCCATGTCTGTTTGTCCATCCATCCATTTGTCTGCCCGTCCGTCTGTCCATGTGTCTGTGGTTGTCTGTCCGTGTGGCTCTGTCTCTGTCTATCCCTGTGTCCGTTGGTCTGCCTGTCCATGTGTCTGTCTGTTCATATGTCTGCCTGTCTGCGTCTGTTTGTCCATCTGTCTTGCCTGTGTCAGTGTGTGTGTGTCTGTGTGTCCACCTAGACAGACACAGACAGACAGACTGACACACAGATGGACGGACACACACGGACAGACAGCTACACAGATAGACACAGACACGGAGAGACAGACGGACACATGGATGGACAGACCGACACATGGACAGACAGCCGAAGACAGACACACGGACGGACCGACACACAGGGAGAGACAGACTGACATACAGACAGACAGATGGACTGACACAGGGACAGACACACGGATGGATGCATGGACGGAGACATGGACAGACAGACACACGGATGGACACAAGGATGGGCAGACACATGGACAGACACATGGACAGACACACACACACACGGACACAGACGAGCAGACAAATGGATGGGCAACGGACACACAGACAGACACAGATACATGGATGGCCGCACGGACAGACCCAGGGATCGACAGAGACATACAGACAGACAGACACAGATGAACAGACATATGGACAGACATACAGACAGACACATGGACGGACAGACACACAGACAGAGAGGCAGACACACACAGACGGATGGACACACAGACCAGCAGACACAGACAAGATATGATGACACACAACAGACAGAGACACAGACACACAGACAGAAAGCCAGACACAGGGACAGACAGACACAGGGATAGACAGACACAGGGATAGACAGGCACAGACAAACAAAGACACATGGACAGATGGACAGATACACAGACAGAGTCAGTCACACGGACACACACAGGCAGGCAGACAGACAGAAAAAGAGACAGAGCCACGGACAGACAGACAGACACACACAGACACAGGGACAGACAAGACAGACACACAGACAGACACGTGGACAGACAGAGACACGGATACAGACAGACTCACAGAGAGACACATGGACAGACACAGACACACAGCCAGACACCTGGACAGACACACGGCCAGAGAGACACATATACACACAGCCAGACACATGGACAGACACACAGACTGGCAGAGACACAGACAGACACACCGACAGACAGACAGACACACAGGACAGAGACACACAGACAGGTAGACACACAAACACAGACAGACGGATAGACACAGAGACAGACAGACACACAGACCGGCAGAGACACGGCACACACAGGTAGACACACAAACACAGACAGACACACAGACCGGCAGAGACACGGACAGACAGACACAGAGAGATACAGACACGCAGACAGACTGACAGATGAACACAGATAGACAAACTGACACATGGACAGACGGACACACGGACACAGACAAACAGACAAGACAGACAGAGATAGACAGATCACACAGACAGGCAGAGACACAGTGACAGACACACGGACAGACACACACACAGGCAGACACAGAGAGACACACAGACAAGACAGATACACAGAGAGACATAGATGGACACACTGACAGACACATGACAGATGGACAGACACGGACAGATGGACACACAGGCAGACACACACAGAGGCAGACACACAGATATACAGGCAAACGGTTGAACACAGAGACAGACACACACAGACTGGCAGAGACACGGACAGACACACAGACAGACTCACAGGCAGGCAGACACATGGACAGACAGACATACACAGATGGAGACAGGGATAGACACAGACAGACACACACATAGACACGGACAGACAAACACACACACACACGCACAGACAGAGACCGACACAGAGACAGACATGGACAGTCATACGGACACACACCCCCAGACAGACAGACAGACAGATGGATACACAGACAGGCCGACACACACAGAGACAGACACACGGATACTCAGACACAGACATGCAGACAGACCAACAGATGAACACAGACACACCGACACACGGACAGAGACAGACAGATGACAGACTGACACACAGACAGGCAGGCACACAGATACACAGACAGACTCACAGAGACACACGGACAGACACACACACAGAGGGACAGACCGACCCATGGACAGACACACTGACACACACACACACACAAGAGACATGGAGAGACACAGACAGACAAGGACAGTCACACGGACAGACTCACCCAGGCAGACACACACATGGACAGACGGATGGATGGACACAGGCACAGAGACAGACAGACACCCTGACAGGCAGACATGCGGACAGACATACAGATACAGAGATAGACTAACACACACAGACAGGCAGACACACAGATGGATACGGGGATGGACACAGACAGACACAGATACTCATAGACAGACCTACAGACAGACACGGGCAGACACAGAGGGACAGACACACAGACACACACATGGGTACACAGGTGCAGAGACACACAGACATGTATGAAGACGCACAGACAGACACATGGACAGACACACACACACACACACAGAGGTATTTTGGTAGATTAATGGATGACCTCATAACCCTGGCTTTTTGGCTGAAGTTGACAGACAGACCCAGACACACACACAGATGCCCCCCAGTTCAGTCAGGGAGCACAAGACCTCTGAGCACCTTCGGCCGTGCCCGAGGGGAACAAGCCCTTCTCAGGAAGCCTTTCACGAAAGGCAAGTGCTGGTGTTGTGGAGTCCCAGCCCAGTCCCGGGGGAAACAACCAGACTGCCATGCGTGCGCGTCCCTGTCCTCTCCCTGCTCTTGGCCTCTGCACCAGCTGTTTGCCAAAAATAAACACCATTCCACAACCATATAAGTGCAACAGCCGCGCGGTGCTTCTCAGCCCTCTCCAGCGCGGCCATTTCTCCACCGGGCCAGGAGACTGTCTTCTTTCTGCCGTGCTCTGAGGGGCTATGCACATCACCCAGCTCAATCGGGAATGCCTCCTACATCTATTTTCTTTTCTGGACAAAAACAGTAGGAAAAGCTTAGCAAAAACATGTCACAAGTTCCTAGAAGTGTTTCAGGATCCTTTACTGTGGTCTCTGTTGAACTTTCACTCTCCAGCGGAACTAAAGAAGGATAATTTTCTCCTCGGACCTGCTCTAAAATACTTGTCCATCTGCTGGTATTCAGAGAGAGTCAAGGTGTGTAACATTGAGGACTGGCTGAAAAACAATTTCCAGAAAGACTTCTGTAACAGACATGAAAAGACTGTCAATGATTTTTTACTAGGAGTTTGCAACAGGTATGTTCCTTGGGAGTAAAATTCTACATCTACTGTAAAGCTTAACTGCCTTGACACAAGACAGTTGAGAACTACTTACTTGCTCCACTCCATACAGCTCACCTGAAATGGAGCCTTAAGTACGTGACTGCTTTGACTTACTTTGTAGTTTGATTGCAGCGTTGATTTTACACTGCCGATAGCATATAGTTCATACTGACTTCTCCTTAACCCTTTTTTTTTTTAAGAATGGCTAATTACCATGGGAATGCTCACTACTACTTACTAAGTTACTGCTTAACTGAAATGTGCTATTCTGGCAGTGAGAAGCATAATCCTGGGGGAGGGGCTGAAGCAAAGACAAGACTTCAAATAGTAAATATATGTCATAACAAAGGCAAGTTCATTAAACGTGTTACTAAACTTTGTTCCACTCTAAGTATTGCTTTTCCACTGAAATTTAGCTGAGCTTTTTATGTGTTACAGTAAAAGAAAAGCAATACTACTGCTACGGAAGAAGGAGCTCTATGTGTCCACCATTTCTTACAACAGCTTTACTGCTATGATGTGGCTCTGTGGAAGAAAAAGTTAAATTACATTAGGAGGAGAAAAATCCTTGCATTTTAGTAACACAGGAGGACGGCTGCAAGGGTACTAAGGATACTAAGGGTGCTAGAAATTCAGCAAGTGCTTTTCAGCCTTACACAGATTTGTTTAAACGTAAACTGAACTCTTATAAAGGATATTTTATATTGATAATTAGTCCACCTGCCAACTCCTCTGTTTTAGCCTTCTTAAGACAAGTTCCTGCTTTTTTTTTTTTTTGCAGTGACCCTTGGAAAGCATTTTGATCCAATACAAATTCCTAGCTATTGGTGCAAAGAAAAAAAATGCAAATTAAAAAAATACAGAGCTTTTCTCCCTGAATTTGGAGTACTTTTATTCTACTGACAAGGTCACATGACATAGTGGGTTAGAGCCTTTGTTGAGCTCACCTGCCTAACTTTTGTATTTGTGTTTGACAGTATCCCCTTCTCCAAGCCCTCTTGTTTATTCTTCCCCTCATCTCACCCGTAACCATCGTGTTTTCAGATGTCCAAACCTGCTATCTCTGACCCTCTCTGGATGCGGCCACGTTACAGATGACTGCATCTTGCTTCTTCTCAAGAACTGCCCAAAGCTCCAGACGCTCAAACTGGAAAATTGTGTGCGCATCACCGACCGGACACTAGAAGCCGTGACCCTCTATGGGGTCTCGCTGCAAACACTCCATGTGGATTTCTGCCGGAACGTAACACAAACGGGTCTGGAGAGAGTCAGGGAAGAATGTCCTTCGGTAATGCTCAGGGCAGAGAGGAGCGCTAACATGATCCCAGACAGTAAGCCCGAAAGGAAGCTGATGCTTGAAAAAGCACCAAGGAAATTGGTTCAGCTCTAATGCAACGAATTCTAGCAACTCAGCTCCTGTGAGTATTTTACTCCAACTCTCCTGTTGAGCATTGCTTCAGGGAACCGTGGCTACTTTCCCGAGTTCTGGTTTAAGTGTAAACAAATGGTTGGTATGTAAAAGCTGCACTGGGATAAGGCGTGCACCTCTACCAGACCAGTCTTAAGGAAAAAAACCCACCTGCTTTCTGTTGTTCCTTGAAAGTGGAAACCCCTGCATTGCCGTCACAAAACACTAGACCTGATTAAGGCTGAAAACTGTGATTTGGATGAGCGGAATGCACGTGACTCAGAGAATGTTTTGTTGAGGTTAAAAGAATAGTTTGACACAGTTCAATAAATTTGATGAAATGTAACACAATTTAGCAGTGGTTTGTTGGCACGGTTCACCTCTAGCACATGGAACAAACATACAAAAGAAAAATGAGTTACAAATTGAGTTAGAATGATTCACACAGAAACCAAAACCACAAAGAGTAAGCAGGACCCTCCTGTTGAGGCCTGAGGTTCAGAGTGGACCCCCTTGCTTTCCAAACTCCTTTTGCAGCGGGAGAGGGCATAAAGCTGAGTAACTGCACAATTTACACCCACTTGAGGGAA